GGACACGCCCCAGACACACCCCGGACACGCCCCAGACACACCCTGGACACGCCCCCTACATGCAGACACCCCACAGGCATGATCGGGGGGTCCAGTCAGAGTGGGACCAGGGGGGTGGCCGGTCATGACCCAGAGCGAGGACGACCTCTCTGGTGCCGCTCTGCAGGCCGCTAGGTGCGCACGGCGTCGGGCTTCAGGAAGAGCCTGCTGTGCCAGTAGTCGGGGTTGTCGAAGGAGCGGTCAGCGCCTGGCTCCCCCACCCCGGCCCTCACCTTCACGAAGCCCCCCAGCTCCCCGGGCCGGCCCCTCCTGCCCCCCTCCGCCAGGTTCTGGTACTCCACCAGGGGCAAGGAGTCCATCTGCTCGTACTCGTCCGCCTCCCCCCGCAGGGCCTTCCTCAGCCTGGGCTGCTTGTTCATGTACTGGTAATCTTCCTCCTCCTCTGCGTCTCCCTCCTGCTCGTCCTCCCCTCCCTCTTTATCACCCCCCGCCTCCTCCTCGGGTTCCACTCGTTTCTCTCCGTCTTCTGCAGCTGCAGCTCTGTCCTCCTTCCTGCCTACGCAGTCCCTGGAGCTTCGACAGTCCAGCTCCTCGCTGCGGATGTCCATGTATTCGTACTCCACTGCTTCCTGCTCCTGCTGCTGTTCCGATCCTCCGTCTCCTTCCTGCTGTGACTCGCCGCCGCTGTGATCGGGGCTGACGGAGAGCTGCCTTCTCCGTTTCTGCACTCTGTCTCTACCAGCAGGAGGTTGCCGGTCATTACAATCCAGCAGCTCATCAGACTCTCTGTCTCCACCAGGTGGCAGATCCTTGGCACTGCACTCTGGGCTGGGCTGGGACTTCCTGTGCGGTTTCTGGTCTCTGGCGCCCTCTGGTGGGGGCTCAGCGGTACTGGCCACTGAGGCAAGAGGCAGCAGGCGTGTCTGTTTGTTCATGTACTCGTACTCCTCCGAGTCAGGGTCTCCCAGAGTCCCCAGGGAGCCACGACTGTGGGAACCCCTCATTCTGGACAGGGTGCCAGTTTGGGAGGGTGAGAGAGAAAAGATGCTGGCTGTGGACAGTAAAAAAGAAGAGGAGGAGAACAGGAGTTAGTAAGTTATTACTCCAGGACACCATTGGCCAGACTCAGCCCTTGAGAAAACGTTAAGCAAATAATAAACTCATTCAAGACCCGGGTAGTGAGTCTGTCAGCTACACACACTCCCGGTTCACACCGCTGTCTGGGGGCTCACCTTTCTCTGGGCTCTCCAGCGACCCCGGCAGGACGTATCCATAGTGGTCCTCTTCCTCGGCGGCGCCGCTCAGGCTGACGTGGTGCGAGAGGTAGGCGCTGTCCTCCCGGCGGCGCCCCCGGCGCAGGCTGCCGCCCAGCGAGGCGTCCTCGCCCGCCTCCGTGTCCGGCATCGTGCCCCGCCCCTCCGAGCACTCCGAGATCGTCCGAGCCGAGTTCAGCCGTGAGCGTGCGGGCCAGAGCTGCGGAACACAGGAGAACTGGGTTGCTTGTCCGACTAGTGAGTAGTAGACTAGTGACTAGTGAGGCCTCGTGCACGGTCACTGATTACTGCAAGCGAGTGACTTGTTAGGGAAGCCTCGTGCATGCTCACTGAACACTGCCAGCGAATACCGGTAAGGGAGGCCTCGTGCACGCTCACTGAACACTGCCTACGAGTGACCAATGAGGGAGGCCTCATGCACACTCACTGAACACTGCCCGCGAGTGACCGGTGAATGAGGCCTTGTGCACGCTCACCGAACACTACCAGGGAGTGACTGGTGAGGCCTCATGCATGCTCACTGAAAACTGCCAACAAGTGACTGGTGAGGGAAGGCCTTCTGCACGCTCACTGAACACTGCCAGTGAGTGACTAGTGAGACCTCGTGCACACTCACTGAACACTGCCAGCGAGTGACCATGTGGAGAATAGTGATTTTTTACTCCAGATACAGGGTGCAGTGAGTGTTTACACTGGCAGCTGTTGAATGGTCTCCTCCTGCTTCTGCCCCTGCTGTGTTCTTGTGCTCCAGTGTCACTGTGGTGATATAGTGTAAGTGAACGGGCCAGCTGCACTCTCAGGCAGACAGGTGGGCAGAGAGACAGTCAGTAACTGCGATAGGTGTGCTCTGGTCAGGACACTGCTGCTCAAACGACACATTCAGTATGTCAGCACACATGCAGCTGACATGTGAAAGGATGTCAAGAGACTCACCTGTCTGTTGGGGTCTCCTGTCCCAGAGTTCATCTGCAGGTACCCAGCCAGCCCCGAATGAGTCAAGCCACTCTGAGAGAGGGGGAGGAGGGTTAACAGGAGAGAGGAGGGAAGTAAGAGGGGGGAGAGTATTAGGGGAAGGTAAGTGGTACTGAACTACCTGAGAATGACAGACAGCTGGACACACAGAATAACTGCCCCTCAGACAGCCGGACAGACAGAATGACTGTCCCTCAGACAGCCGGACA